CCCAAGCCGCACCAGCAGGGGCAAGGTGGGGTGCTATCGGGGTGGGGGGGGATGTATAGACATGTGTGGGTGGGTATGGGTGGGGTACGAAGTGGCCGGCAAGAAGACTCGGATATGTGACCCCACCACGTCATCTGTGTTTGGACCAAGGTTTCGTCTCAGCGGACATTCAGCGAAAGCAAGTCAGGTTTGGCTATCAGTATCTGTGCAGACACATGACTCGAAAGTTTAGCGACCCTTGCCGCCTGCGCTTGAAAATGGCTGGAACCGTTTGAAGACTGAAAGCAGATTTTGGAGATTTTCGCAGAGGTGCGATGGGTGCAGCTACAGCTTGTCGCGTCCGTACCTGGACCTGAGCTCATTTCTTCCTCGAGCAAACCAGGAGCTGGTGATGAGGTCTTTCTAGCGCTGTGCAGAGCTTCAATTGCTAAGTTGCTAATTCCCGAACTTCTGGACAAGGAGAAGCCGCAAAATGATCCTGCGATCATGTTATTCCACATTGATCCACTTTGCAAGCGAGCGAATCGGGCGGTGAAGTAATGATGACATACTGGGGTGATGACCACAACGAAAAAACTTGCCCTGCCGAAGCTTTCGTGTGCTTTCGCGAGATTTTGGGGGATAAGCCTTGAATGCGTTGAACCCCACAGGCTTCACCAGCAAGCAAGAAGGCAAGAAGGAGGGAGTGTCTGGTCTCTTTCCTCGTTGCTCGATGGGTAGGACTATGCATACGCAGATTTTCAGCATTTTTCAGCTCTCTCCACTCCAATATCTGGTGCGCACTCCGGGGGGGGGGGGGGGAGGGGNNAGGGGGGGGGGGTAGGGGTAGGCCCTCCTCTGCACCTTCAGAATGTAGGAACTTGCCGATGCATGTTGTACTCCCGCTGCTGCTTCTTTATAGGTTCTCAGGATCGGAGCATCTCGAAGAAGCAAAATTTGTATAAAAGAGGCTCGCCATGGATTTACGAGCTAGCACAGCATGGAGATTTTGTATCGTGTAGGCAGTGTAGGGTCCACGGTCTCCCATCGAGCTCGAATGCCACGCCGGCCACTTTAGGCCTGCCGAAGCGCAGACTCAACATGGTGAAGAGTGGTTTCCAAGAGGAGGAGCAGCTGTGGTTTCTCGGTGTGCTCGACCGGAAGTTTCAAGAGCAGGAAACCGCTATCCGGGATTTGCTTCTGTCCATCGCCCGGCCTGACGTAGGGCAACCGTTTCGTGAGCGAAGGACAGACTTATCTGTCACCGCTCCGATGGCTTCGGATAACATGCAGAGTCCAAGGTTAAGCTTGGCCCGAGTCCGGGAAGTTCGGGTGACTGCGCTCAGTGATACAAGTGATGCATATGAAGGCATGAAGTCAGAAGCTACGCCGCCTGCTGCCAGCCCCAGCAATGCCTCGGCGTCGGGAACCCCTAACGGGAAGCGGTCGAAGGCTTTGGCACGTGCCATGAACGACGACCTGACGGAAAAGGATCCTCCCGCCAAGGCCTTCATCAAGCATTCTTTGGATGCCTACATGGGTCTCGTGGTGGTTCCTCGGTTTTCGCCAGTGGGTCAGTGGGTCGTGCAAGTGGTTGTCTCGTGCATCTCAGGTTATAAATCTCGGGCTCATGATCACGATGGCGCAGTTGTCTGGAGACAGGGCGGACTATGAGCTACAGCTATCTGCGTCTCTCCCAGCCATCCCTGACTCTGTCTTCGAGGCAGGCCGGCAGCTCAAGTGGGAAACTTCTGGGATTGCCGTCTTGTTTGGGGTTAATTGATCTTGTGACGGAAGCTCAAGCTCCTGCATGGAGTGCCGGGGACAGTCTTCAGGAAACTCCGTTTGAGATATGTTTTGACTCAGCCACTGAGTCCTGACGTTAGCCACTGGTTCACCTATTGTCCAACATACAAAGTAGCAATGTAGCAGCAGCAAAATACCAGCATGATTTGGGCAACCCTGTAGGTCGCAGACAACCTGTTCTTCATCATCTATATCCTTGATGTTCTGGCTCGCATCATCGTTCTGCGCAAGGAGTGGTATTACGACCCCATTGAGGGAGTGACGCAGTTCGCAAGTAAGTGTGTGTGTGTGTGTGTTTTCTCGTCATATTGAGGGATACACAACGCGCTGGAGTTCACCCTCAAAGCTGTTTTTCGGGGGACTCCATGTTGAGAAAACAACAGGTTTTCTCTGAACTGCCAAGTTCCCACCGTCAGTGGGGGGGCCTTGCGCCCGGGGCCTTGCACAAAGCCCTCAAGCCTGAAGGAAGAAGAAGGAAGAGAGAGAGAGAGAGAGAGAGAGAGAGAGAGACAGAGAGAGAGAGAAGATCCTCGAGCCCGGAACCCTGGCGAAAGAAAGAGAAGATGAAAAAAGCCATCCCCAAACAATGGGGGGCCTCTAAAGGCCAGGGGGTTTGACCGCCCCCTATGCCCTGATGAAGAAGAGAAGATGAAACGAGCCGGAGAGTGAGCAATGGCATACATTTCACGCAGCTTGGTTCCCCATGAAAACTTTGTCTTGGCCGGGGAACTAAGTCTCGTTGGCTTTGGTTCGGGGTTGATTTGTCCGCGAATGAACAACTTTACACAGTAACTAACAGCCGCCGGTGGAACACGGCAGAGTTACCAACCCTTTGAATTCAGCCCGTACGCTTCAGACGCCGTGTATTAAGCCCGAGAGAGAGCGACACAGATGTGTTCGGACAGGACAGTCATGGTGTCGTCTGGCCGCGAAGGAAGCCCATGAAAGCCCTGAGCCAACCAAGCCAGAACAAGCAGCGTCAAGGCAAGTAGCCTTAAAGCAGGCAGCGTAAGCTGGGACCGAGGCCGGGCCCAGCTTACGATCGGCCCCCTTTGCCGCAGAAGCCCAAGACATATAGTGTGTTTGCCATCCAGCTCACCCTCCCCTCGGTCGTGTCCTTGCCCAAGCAGAGGGTCCCTACAGTGCGAGAGGACCGCAGCTCCCCGTAATGCAGGGGGACTGAAGTTAAGGAGTGCGAGACCAAGTCAGGGAAATCACGGGCACCGTCAACCTCTGCACAGGGCAGACACAGAGCAGAAGAGAGGCATTCCTTATCAGGTGATGTTCATGAACATCTTCGACGCTCTGCTAGTGATGGTGCATGCCTTCGAGTTGATCATATTACCCTCGCCCCTGAGCTGCAAGCAGATATTGTGCTGGTAGTCAGTATATTTCGATTTGCGCCAACACCCCGCACTGTGCCGAACTGGAGCCACAGGTTCGTGCGGTTTGAATTGAATGGCCGTCCAGCCAGCGTGTGATGCATGCACATGTGCATGTTTAGCAAAATCACTCAGATAGTGTTATCCAGCACACCCTTAGCAGAATTCGTCATGTTGTTCAATTCGAGGGCGGCTTGACCGTTGCCCTTTCATACAACTTTGTTTTCAATGAATTGGCTGAAGTAGAACAGGATCAACACCTCGCAGGAAGACCCGTCAGCTTAGAGTAGCTTCCACAGAGCAAGCAAAAAGACCCAGTGGTGGTTGCAGGTTGTTCATCGGTGGAGACAGCGTGTCGTGGCTCATTTCAGCATGGTTTGCTTCTTGTTCTACTGCACGAAGGATTGCCGACCACCTGCGTCGCATCCTTCCAGCAAAGAGCCCCGACAGTCTAGGAAAGTGCCAGCAGCATCCGTGTGCTGAAGCTGATACGGATTGTGCGGACGCTGCGCATTGTCAAGACGGCAGCTTGGATCGGCCTCTACTTGTTTAGAGGGCCGAGAGGGTCAGGGCTTTACGGATGACGCTACAGCGGTGATGGACAGCGACAGCAGCAGTGCTGTTTTTGATGGGGTGCTCGGTCATGTTATGGACAGCCGTGGTGTTGACAAATTAAATAGGGCGCATGTGCCCTGACCTGCCGAGTGTTAGAAAAAAACATGGAGAATCACGACAAGATAACAGGTATAACTCTGTTTGGCGGGGGGGGGGGGTATTTTGCTGTGACACGAGGAAGATCTTGAGTTGTGTGGCTTCCGGCTTCCGCGTGCATGAGGAAGCAGGCCAGCCAGGGCTGTTGGCACTTGCTTCAAGAACCGAACTCGGACGCAAGACTGGTGAAGTAATCTGATTGCCAACATCCCGGCTTGGCTTGCTTTTGGAGAAGGTAAGATGCGACGTAAGAACCCAACGCGCTCAAGCTTTGCTTCGTCGCGTCTGAGCCAAGCTGCTCAGCATGCGACGAAACAGCACATCTTGCACCCCGAAGTTGATACGCTTCATTACGCTTCCTAACCGCCACTCCAAGTAGGTTGATAATTACACGCAAGCATCTCCACAAATGCGCATATCGGTGCTGTAACATAGGCAGAGCGTCTGGGCTTTGGTGGAACGCGCATGTATTCTCTCGACATGTGTACATGCGTACTTCCATTTGCTGGTGCCTACGCCCATCAACAAACTCGGCTCAGGTAAATATGTTCCGGCAACTCCGGCTTCTGGTTGGAACTTGTGTGGCTAGCATGGGGGCCCTGTTCTGGTCCATGGCCCCTAGCCAGCATCTGCAGCAATTTGCCTTAGCAGCAGGACAGGTTCTGTCGTTCGGAAGAGTGCCTCAATCAAGATACGATTGTACTCAAGGTTTCTCAAAGCTTCAAGGTTCAGCGCCCTTATGGCATCTTCGATTTGCGACCAACCACAAGGAAACAGGATCTGAACCCATCCTGCACTGCATCTGACTGCATGCAACCAGGCAGGGAACCAAAGATTCCAGCGTCAGAGCACGCAAGCACGCGAAGCGCAGCTCGAACCTCACGCCTTGAAGCGTAAGCTGCATGTGATGCGACACCAGGTTTGGTTCAGCAGGGCCTAGAGGCTCACAGGGCCCTGAACAGGAGCCCTAGGTATGATCCATTGGAGCTGAAAACTCTGTGCATGAGCTTTCCTTCAGAGGTGCTGCTGTGCCTCCTCAAGCTGGGATTCGCCCTGGTAATTTGCCAAGCCTTGCAAGGCTGGACACGGACATGTAAAGAGCCTTGTGTCAATGTTGTGATAGCCTATACCTATATCATCCTATATCATAGCCTATTTGGCCTATGTACCTGCTTCTCTTCATTGCCACACAGCGACAGCAGAACTCTAGATGCTGATGCTGGTGGCGGCGATGATGATGAATGTAATGATCGCGATGTTGATGTTGTTCCTGCTGATGACGCCTTGCCCTCATTGAGAGCACGCACTCACGCATGTCCATGGATGCCAGTGCAAGCTGCAAATCCGGACTTTCTAGACCTTTCGGTCAATCGCAACTGTTGTCACGGTGTTTAGATGTAACCAGAATTCGCAATATCACGGACGTACTGTGCTTCTCGGGAGGGGTTGGCCATGTACAGAACAAACTGGGCGATGTTCCGTTCGTGGCTGGCCACCATGGCCGGGGAGAGTGTATCTGCAAGCATTTCACAGGCAGGTAGAACAGTCATTCCGTGCCGGTGCCGTGCCCGAACTCACTCGAATCGCCAAAGAGACGTTGCGTTGCAAAGTTGGTTGGCGGCAGGTTTCATCATGGACGACAGCCATGACATGGCCACACGTTTGGAGATGAACAATCTCTACGGCAACTTCCTCAAAGCCTTTTACACGTTGTTCGAAATCACTCACAGTGGCTCGTGGCCCTCGAAAGTCCGGCCTGTCATCGAAAAAGTCAACGCCTGGTATGCTGTACTGTTCTGTAGCTACATAGCCTTTGTAGTTTTCGCGGTCATACGCATAGTAACTGCGCTTTTTTTGCAAGAGACGTTGTCAAATGCGGCCAATGATGCCGACATGCTGCTGGAAAATAGCCGGCGGTTGGCGAAAGACTACCAGGACAAGCTTGAGGAGTTGTTCCAAGCGGCAGACAACGATGGTGATGGGAGCTTGACGCCGGACGAGTTTGTAGATGCGCTTAGCATCCCTGGCGTCCAACGTTGCTGAAGGCTTTCTTTTCAGCACCATTCATTTGATTTGCTCGGTTTTGACATGTTCAGATTGGTCTCAGTGTTGACAGCGCAGGATGTCCGTTCTTACGGTCTAGTGACTAGCATGCATCACTGACTGTCCGACTATGCAACACTTTTCCAATACGCGTTGTGAGGCCTGCACGTTTTCAACAGGTACACAAGTCCATGAGCCGTTCGAGGGAAAGGGCTGCGGCCCGACTCGACTTGACATCTAAGGCTACTTGACCATGTTAGATGTGCGGGTCCAAGATTGCCGCCCACTTTTCGACATTCTGGATGATGGTGACGGGCAAATCACAATAGCCGAGTTCTGCAAAGGACTTATGCAGCTGAAAGGCCAGGCACGCGCTTTGGACATTGTCATGCTCACCAGGGAGAACGCGAAAATGATGAAGATTTGCCAAGAAATCCACACAGCTCTCATGCCTACTGGGAAGGTCTTGTGAGCCGAAGCGATGAATTCACGCGTGAAACAGAAAGTTTTTCACACAACCAGCTACTGTACCAGGTTCCGTCCTTCTCGAAGAGAGGCGGGCCGAGGTGGAGCCATCTCCTATACTATCATGGAGGGGTATAGCCTGCCTGAAATGACCCAGCAGCCTGCACTTGTTGTATCAACGAGAGCTGCTTGAAGCCCCCGGAAGGCTTCGAAACAGAGTCTGCGAGCATCGACAAAAGGAGCAGCTGTTTCCTGTCCAGACGGGGCCAACCTGATGCAATATGTTTCGACATCCATCACAAGTTCTTCACAATGATTTCCGATTGAAGGTATAATTTACACAATCACACACAGAGATATACACAGAGTGATGTATTCGTGCAGATGCATGCTGTCTCCATATTTGAGCCATTTTGGGCTCGGACCTAGAATCGACAACGAAGCTCGGGGGCGGGCGGGCGCATTAATTGCGTCGTGCTGAGCTACTAAGAGCAGTGTGCCATTTCTGACCGTGGAGGGTGAGAGTCTTGATGAAAGCATGTCGTTCGTGACGACTTGCCGGACGTGATTCAGGCGTTACTGGATGTGATTACACTCGGACTCGACACGGAAATCCCAAACTATTCCATTCTGGCTGCTTTCCTGATCAGCATAAACTTCAGCAGGCATCCTGGCAGGTGTACCTGGCAGACACGGTTACATTCTACGATGCCATTCATAGCCTTTGTGTAGCAGTGTACGGTGGGAAGCCTGCATACTTTTCCGGATATTTCCGGATCATGCCGGGTGAGTTATCAGACGTGTGGGCCTGGGGCCTATGTGTGGAGAGCCTCTCGAGATTGTGGGCGCAGGTTTGTAGTTTGGGAAGATCGTGCAAGCTTCGAGCCACGACATGCAAGGTCCGTGGCAGCCCCCTTCCAGGCAGCGGGTTGCTTCTGAACGGAGCAGAGTAGCCTAGACTTAGCGGGCCGTGCGATGATCCCCACCTAGAAGTAGAATGAACTCAATCTGATGCTACTCTCGCATGAGGCTGATGTTCATGTGTTCTAGTTTGACCAAACTGTTCGATTTCAGTTTCTACCGTAATTAGCCCAATCATGTACTCCAACTTGAGCCCAGAGTCGAAGCACTCGGTTGCTTTAAGTAAGGAAATTAGTTCCGGCAATCCCTCCTACTTACCATCCACTTGCCTTGCACTGTAGGCATGCTTTACTTCGGCATGCTCGCCCGCAAGGTTGTTGAGGGTGGGGCATGTGGCGGTTTCAGTGTTGTTGCGGTTGTGTGCAGAATGTGTGTGCGTGCGTGTGCATGTGCGCGTGCGTGTTTGTTTTTGTTTGTGTGTGTGTGTGTGTTTGCGTTTGTTTTTGTGTTTGTGTGTGTTTTGTGTTTGTGTTTGTGTTTGTGTTTTTGTGTTTGTTTGTTTGTGTGTGTGTGTGTGTCTTGTGCGCCGGCTTCAGTTGAAGAGATCAAGCATGCGCAGTACTAGATTGGGTCGCAAAATCTTTTGCGCATCTTGACCGTCTTGACCTTTCCACAGCATTCACAGCCTAAGAGAAGTTGCATCTTCTGACCTTGGAACAATCAGTCCGGCTTTGGCATGAATGCAGCGTCGGAAGCAGGACGATGTTTTATCCAGCCGGTAATCGCTTAGGTCACACAGTGTCACCCACGAACCTATGTAGATGTGTACAAAATATGGAGTTGTTCATGGGTGCACTCGGCTGCCCCCGGCATAGCTACATCCAGATCTCTTGTAATGTAACATCTTGTAAGCACTTCAGTGGCGCTGGAGGGTTATTGGCCTCGCCCCGGTATCATGTCCCATGCCCGAGGGTAGCTTCCGACTCGTTGCAATGGTGGCCGCATCGAGTGCCGATGGTAGCTGAATGCATCTCGGCAGCAGCCCCTGGAGGAAAGTGTGGAATTGGAAAAAACCCCGCAGACTATTCGAGGCTTCAGGCGGCGGAGGGCTCTGGATTCTATCCATGTCCTGTTAGAGGTCTCAGAGACCCGAAGATGCGTGTTGTGGATTGATTTGAGTTGGTTGAGGCATGAACTCGCCAGTCCTGGGGCCCGGAAGCGTGCAAACCAACATCAAAAAGGATAGTTGGCGAACAATATCTCCACACCCTAGCGCACGCACACCACGACCACTTCAAAAGCAAACCCTCCTACGCCAAGGTCTGGGCTTTAAGCGTGTTGGCGAGCCCCTCCCACGCACAGCTGGCATCTTTGTTTTTGATGTTTACAAGATGTTGCGCTTCAGGTTTTAGGAGTGTTGAAACCTTCTTACTTGGAGTGTTAAAACCTTCTTGGCAGCACCTGCGTTGTGCACGATATTTGCAGCGTTTTCGTACTATCCGACCACCTGCAGTTGTCACAGAGACAGGGAGGCGCAGCCGCAGGCTTGCGCTGTCAAGTTACAACCGACTAGACTTCTTAGCATTGCACTCACCCACGTCGTGAATATCTGTTGGCAGATTATGCGAATCGGCAGGTACTGTAAGACTTGTACGTAAGGTTGGAGAATGCAATCCGAACTATGCCTTCTTGTGTATAGTTCGGACAGAAGAGATAACCAAAACCTCTCCTTGGCGGTGCACCAGAAAGCGCGAAGTGCCTGGATAATAAGTGGCACGCGGCCCACATCACGGGGCCTCGAAAACATCGAGAGAATCCGTTGCAAAGCAAACGCTGCAAGGTCCATGCACGGCTGTGACGAGCTTGCGTCGGCCTTTCGAGCGCTGCAGTGGCGAGTGAAGGCTCATGCGCCCAAGGCACGCTACGAGGGTGGACATGGTTCCGAAAATTTCTGAAGCTGACATTTGCAGAAGCTTGTTTTGTTTCGTGGAAGATCTCGCCGAAATCCAATACGTTTTCGTTATTAATTTCCAGTTCTCAGCAGGAGACGAATGCCGCCGACAAAAAACTGCGGCCGTGAACGAGAGGTCCTGACGTGAATGAATGTCCATGTTCGTGCGTGGCTTCTGAAAGTGCAGAAAGTTTGCGAAACGGCAATTTTTCATTTTTGCCATAGGCCCACACAGCACAGGCAAGCTTCCTCAGGGGCCTAATCGCACTGCATTCCCGTCATGCCCCTATTCTCAAGTCGCCCACGAGGTGAGCGACATTGTCGAGGAGGGAAGGTACTGCCTTCGAAACTCTGCTAGCTAGACATCTGTCCGGCAGTTCATTTGTCATTTGTGAGGCTTCTTGGTGCCTGTCAGCAGCGGCAGGTGGTCTGCAGCTTCTGCAAGCGCAAATTCAAGATCTACCAAGACTTGCAGTCCCACATCACTACGAAGCACGCAGAGGAGCTGCGTTTGATGCAGCGCACATGCAGACGGAGTCCTCTTGCGATGACACACTCGGACCTGCATGAGAAGGCCTTCTTCGCCATGATGTTCACCCACTGACTCGGGTCCAGGAATTTTCCATGCGTAACGAAGCAATCCTTCATGAAATGACTGCTGCCTAAATTGTTTTCTGCTCTGTGAGCCAGGCTTCCGCGGCAAAGAACTGGGGGATGCCTGCCTTTCCATTGAATCTGGGGAAGTAGACCAGGTTCAGGATCATGTGGCAAACTGGCATTCCCACGCCGCAATTTAGCTGAGCCAAGAGGACCCGCATGCTCTACAAAGCCTCAGTCAACCATTCCTGGGCTGGAGGTGGGAGGGTTGCCAGGTGCTTTGTTCCAGCTTGTGTTCGAGTTAAAACATAAATCTAGAGCAGGACCAACCGTTGGTTTAAAATAAGCTCGAGAATTTCGTGGGGAACCATCCGTTATTTCGTCAGTGCAAGGCCAAGGCCTAGCCCGGCGTCCTTTCAAAACACGTCTCGCTGAGATGCCGTAAAACTTACGAACCAGCCCGGGTCACGGGGTGGAGGTCCCACATAGTTGTCCTCCACTACCACTCGTACTGCGACACACAAGACTTGACCAAGTCGTGTCGCAGTCGTAGACGGTAGAAGCTAGCAAAAGGGAAGAACTTGCAGTGTGGCGGCGTCTTTGGCCCAGCTGCTAGATTCTGCCAGATGGCTCTAAGTGACTGGTAAGCAGTCCCCTGAGGCTTCAGGTGGCCTTTGAAGACGACTGGCTCGCTGTAGCCCGAAGCTTAGATTCGAGGCCAACCACCCCATTGTCTGGTTACTGAAAAGTGGCTCTGGCCGAGCAACAGATTGCCGATGCTTGAAGTTGCCAAGGCTGTTTTGAATATGTGGCAAAGCAGTGTCGGTGGAAGATGTGCTCTGTAAATCAAGCGGTCTGCTGCGTGTCCAAGAGGACGGCAGTGAAACAAGTCAAAGCAGTCTAATGTGACATGTGCTAGAAAGATAAGCCTCATCGCAGCTGTGGGTGTTCGCAAGAAATCTTGCTGCAGGTGGTCAAGCCTCAGCGGGTGCCTACGTTTGGCAAAGGCCGACGTGGAGGGTCGGACGGGCCACGGAGCACTCGCTTGCAGAATGTCTGGTGCAGCACCGATCGGACGCCTCGGGCCAATTCTACGGTCAGACACAAAGGCACACGTCACGAAGATGCACGGACCCAGAGCATCAGCATTGAGTGGATCCTTAAGTTGCGCATGTGTTAGAGATGTTGTGAGGAATTTGCCTTCCTGCAGCAGGCAGCTTTGACAAAGCTTCCTGGTTGCTGGGCCAGCTCTCCAGAAGCCAGGCATCTGACTCGCTGGGCCAGGCCTGCAACAGTAGCTTGAGCTCTATGGTCCATGTGTCCAAACTAGAAAGATAAATCCTGTAAATACCGAAGACCAATCCCTGCAATCCTTTGGTAATTAGCAGTTGAAGCCTTGCCAAGCTTCGATGGCGGAGCCTTGGCATAGCAGCTCGAACAATGCACCTCCACAAATTCGCAAGTGAAGCGGGATTCCAACCGGACACGAATGCGGCAGGCAACGCCGGTCCACCGCCTGGATGCAGCTACCGGGGGCTTGCTGGTCCTGGCGTAACCTTTCTGCACACCCGTTTCTGTCCTTTCACTGCTGTAGGAAG